ATCATCAGAGGCTCTTCCTTCCTCTGTGGTCCTCAGCACCTACCACTTACCTGTGCCTACGCCTCCACAATTCTGGCCCCAGCAAAGGCTTCCCACCAAAGATAGCCCCATACAAGGCCTTGTGGATGGGGAAACTGAGGTTCAGAGGAGCTCAACACCCTCTGCAGAGACACTCCAAACACTGAAGAATGCCAGGGGATAGAGCCGCCCCCCACCTCCCCGGGAGTTCGGTGTGTGCACACATATGCATGCATGTGATGGTGTGAGGGGTAGACAGGGTGATGAGTGTGGGTGTCCTGAGAGTAAGTCTGTATGTCACAGCAGGGCTCTGTGGGACTCTGGGCATGGTGTTTATCTGGGTCTGTGTGATTGTGAGTGTCTGAGTCCCTGCGTGAGTTCATGTGTCTGTAGCTGTGGGTGCATGACTCGGAGGCCCACAGTTGTGTTTGTGTGTGCCTTTGTGAGCGCCTGTGTGCCCGGCCTATTGTTTTCTTATGTGTATTTCATAAATGCTTCTGTAGGGCTTTCTACTTGCCATTGTTCTAAGCACTTCACATATATTAGCTAGTCTAATCTTCCCAGCCACCCTCAGAAGAAGGTTATTGTCCGCATTTTTAACTGGCCCAAATCACACAACCACAGTGACCGTTATTTATCTCATGCCAACCCAGAGCCAAGCCCTGTGCCTCTTTGGGCGAATGGATGAAATGAGAAAACAATTTGTGACAGTTTCTATCTCAGAATCTGGGGACAGCCGCTGTTCTGTACATGTTGGTTTCTTCCTGTCTTTAAAAGCAAGCCACATGGCTGAGCTGCCCCTGTGTGGGGGGAGTATGGGTACCCAGAGCCCCACTGCTCTCCAGGGGAGCTGAGGTATCTGCAGAAAATCTTCCTGGCTTTGCCCTGGCCCTTGTCTGAGGGTAAAGGGAGAGATGCTAGTGCTGGGTCTGCCTAGGACCTTGTTGGGGCATGTAAGTTCACTGGACACTCCCTGGCTTCAGGGCTGGAAGATTGGGACTGAAGGACGGCGGCAGCCTACTCACCCATCCAATATCCTACGGGCCCCCTGAACTCATCTGGAGCCAGCAAGAAGCTGGCAGCCGACCAGCTCCCTCTCCTGAGCCCAAGGGCTACTCCCCCCGCCCCTTTAGAGCTGCACCTATGCCCTTCAGGCACATCAACCTTATCTCACCGCCAGTCACCAAACCTGTATGCTACCTGCCAAGCTGGTCCCAGGACCAGGCTCACATCTCCAGTGACCTCACATTTGGGGTCCAAAGAGCATCCCATGGGGAGGACACTGGTGGGCAGACTCAGCTGGTCCATCTTCTGCCACACAGGAGAGAGTTACCTAGAAACCTGGGGGTCTTGCGGCGGGTGGGGGTTGGAGAAAGAAATGGACCCACGGATTGTGAGTAGGAGGCAAAGGGGTGTTCTTGTCCTTGGGGTGCCTCCTACTAAGGACACCCCCAGCATATACACAGGTAGGGGAGAAGCTGCAATGAGAGAAGCTGGAGCTCAGCTTCAGCGTGGGGCAGGCCTTGCGTGTGGAGATGTGACTGCTGAGTAGACTCACAAGAGACTGGTGAGGACACACGGGCTGGGAGCGTGTAGGACCTTTTCTAGCCTGCGCCGGGGGCAGCGCGGCCATGTTGCTTGTTTTTAAAGACAGAAAGAAACCAACATGTACAGAACACTGGCTGTCCCTAAATTCTGAGATAAAACTGTCACAAACTGGTTTCTCATTTCATCCATTCGCCCAGCCATTTTTGTTTGGTTTTGAGACTGAGTCTTGCACTGTGTCCCAGGCTGTAGTGCAGTGGCACAATCTCAGTTCACTGCAATCTCCATCTACTAGATTCAAGTGATTCTCCTGCCTCAGCCTCCTGAGTAGCTGGGACTACAGGCGTGTGCCACCATGCCCAGCTAATTTTTTTGTGTTTTTAGTAGAGACAGGGTTTCACCGTGTTGGCCAGGATGGTCTCAATCCCCTGACCTTGTGATCCACCCGCCTAAGCCTCCCAAAGTGCTGGAATTACAGGCATGAGCCGCCGCACCCTCGCCCAGCCACTTTTATGGGAAAGGGCCCTGAGAGTCACACAGTGAGTCAGTGGCACAGCAGGATTTGAACCCAGGTCTTTAGACCTTTGCACTGAATTCCTTCCTGAAAGCAGCATGAGATTTGCTGCTGGCAGGAGATAGTCATGTCTCACTCTGGGTTTTGTCTCTTTCTTTTTCTTTCTTTTTTAAAAATTAAATCCTGGCCAAGGTGCAGTGGCTCACGCCTGTAATCCCAACACTTTGGGATGCTGAGGCAGGCAGATCACCTGAGGTCAGGAGTTTGAGACCAGCCTGGCCAACATGATGAAACCCCGTCTCTACTAAAAATATAAAAATTAGCCAGGCCCAGTGGTGTGCGCCTGTAATCCCAGCTTCTCGGAAAGCTGAAGCAGGAGAATTGCTTGAACACAGGAGGCGGAGGTTGCCGTGAGCTGAGATCATGCCGCTGCCCTCCAGCCTGGGTGACAGAGTGAGACTCTGCAAGAAAAAAAAAATTAAATCCTTCTGTTATTTTCTTTTTTTTAACTTCATAACTGATATATGAATATGTTCTTATAAAAGAGTCAAGCAAGTCTGTAATCCCAGACACTTGAGAGGCTGAGGAGGGAGAATCGCTTGAGCCTAGAAGTTCAAGCCTGCAATGAACTATGATGATGCCACTTCACTCCAGCCTGGTCAACAGAGTCAGCCCCTGTCTCTGAAAAAAAAAAAAGAGTCAATCAATAAAAATTAAACAGCAGCCCTCCTTGATCACTCCTAAGCCCCATTCCCTTCCAGGGAAAACCATTTTTAGCAGTTTGAGTAGAGGAGCATTCTCCTTCCTCTTTCTGTGTGTTTCTGAATGGTACCTCTTTGTGTACGTATCAAGGAGATAGTTGAATTTTGTCATTTTCTATTTGCTTGGTTGATTGTTTTTAAATAAATGGCATCGGTTTCTAGATAGGGCTCTGCCACATATATATTTTGACTTAAAGGTGTGTCTTAGAGATCTTCATGTCAATAAATATGAATCTATCTTTTTAAATGCTACATAGTATTCCAAAACCTGGGACTCATTAAGTAGTGCATAGGAATGTACATTTAGATCATTTCTGCACAATTTGCATGTGTGTCTGTGTGCGTTATTCCGGATGGTGGCAGGGAAGCTCCTTGAAATGCCCTCTGGCGACTCCATGTGACTGTTTCCTAGTAGGATATTTCTAGATTTTGTCATTGCTGGGTCTGAGATACGCATTTTTTGTTTTAATAGCATGACCAAATTGCCCTCTAAAAAGCTTGTGCTTTTGTACTTATACAACACCAAGACTGACCAGGAGGGCCTCTCTCCCATGCCCACTGTCTCATAGGATGTTATGAGGATTCTTTGTGTTTCACCTTTGTGTGGATAGGTGAAAAATGGTGTGTCTTGTCATTTTAATTTGCTGATTACCAATGACTTTTGGGCTGTACCATGGTTTATGATCCATCTTCTAAGAGAGCTTGCTCTGAGCCATTAACCATACTTCTATGGGTTATTTGTCTTTTTCATATTGATTTGTTGAAGCTTTTTATGTCACCTGCCTTTCAACACGTTCCCCCCAGCTCTTGAAATGGCCTATGGACAGAGCAGTAGGAGGGGCCGAGCCCTCCCAGGAACTTGGGTTTTCTTCGGAATGTTTTAATGAGGCGTCAAGTAGCCTCCCCCAGATTCCAGTTGTGGGCCTTCTGGGGACACTCCCGGGTCCAGCCACCACATCAGGAAGGCAGCTATTTCAGAAGGAGAGTCCTCAGGAAAAAGAAAAGGTGGGGCGAGGGTTTTGCAGCCCTCTGAAATTGTCTGCAAAATATGGTGTGACTGGAAGAAGGGCGCAAACGTTTGCTCAGGTTTGTAGAAACATCAGAGACCTTCAAACCCTTAAAAGCCCCAACTCTGGGGCCAGTCTTGTGCCCGAGGTGAGACCTAGTGGGATCTCATTCTATTGAGCAGGCGATGGCTAGATTAGGCCATACTGTTCATCTGGGCCTTGATTCCTTAGCCTAGGTAGGGTCTGCTTGTGAAGATCCACCAGGTCCTAGCAGCCAACTCCACTATCCCAGGCTACATCCCACTGCCTGCCCCAAGGCGGCCACGCTGGCTGGCCAGGATGAGAGGCGTCGCAGTGCCTCTTCCCCCCCAGGCCCTCCCAGCCCCAAACACAGGCAGCCTGTTCAGGAAGGCCTGGCGAGGGGGAGGAAAAGTCAGCACTTGTCAGCGGTGGCGGGGCAGGACGAGGAGCCTGCTCAGGCCAGCCGGACAGACAGAGGGCAGCAGGGGTGGGGGAGCAGTCCCAGCCAGCTGGCACGGTAGACATCCAGGGGTGCCAGCATGGGTCGCGGTAGTAGAACCTGGAGGAGAGCCGAAGGAAGGCCAGGAGGTCATGAAGGGGTCTCCTGTTAGCCAGGGTTTTCTCCTTCTGGCTGTGCTAGAGGCATCAACTGCCTTGTTCCCAACACCAGGGCCCAGCTGTCCTCTATCCAGTTACAGTCGAGGACAAGCTGCCATCACCAGCACCAGCACCACCGTCACCTTTATGTCTACCCACCTCCCCTCCTGAATCAGCTTTGGGGAGGCTGCCTTAGAGGGTCTGCAAAGGGATACTTGCTTAACGCAGCAGGTCAAATCCAGGACTCTGTGGAAAGGTGATGTTCTGGCTGGTGCCAGGGTGTCCATGTGGTGGGCACTTCCTCTTTTCTTTCCCTTCTTCCAGGGCCGCTGCTTCAGTGTCAAGCGGATCTTAGCTCCATCCCTTGCCCTCCTTTTTCTAACTGTGACTCTTGGCCTCAGTGACCCTGTCTGTAAAATGGGAATGTGGTAGAAGGTGCAGAAGGCATGGGTAAAGCTCCTTGTTGACCATGGAGAGGATGTGTTACAGTCGGGGGGGATTAAAGCCAAGCGCTGTGATGGCTGGGCCGAGGAGGCAAGTCAGCCTTTCTCAGGACCAAAGGAGGAGTGCCCACCTGGTGCAGGGCTGGGTGGCTCATATCAGTGGTGGGTATGGACTAAGTGACCCCTGGCCATAGCCCAACTCCAGTCCATCAGTCCTCAGCCCTGAAACCCAAGATTTGCAGATCTGCTGGATCTAAGAGGATGCAGGTCTGAGTCCTCTGCACCCTGGAGCTGGGCCAAGAAGACAGGAGCTCATCGAGGGGGTGGAAGTTGGAGGGCTGGGGAGAAGAGAGTAGCAGACAGGGGGCATGCCAGGCTGAGATGAGTTATAGCTGTCAGCATTTTCCCCTTCATCCCCAGGAGATAAGGCCTCCTCAGCCAGGGCAGAGGCAGAGGACGGGGTCCATTTTCCTGTCCTCTAAGCTCAAACATGCGGGCTCTGGCAGTAATCTTGAATCCTAATGTAAGTCCAGGGTGGATCCAGAAATGCAAGGAGTCATTGGGATACCCTTCCATCCCAAAAGGTCGCCCGGTACACCTTATCTGGCAGATCCTCCTGCAGTCCCTGACCCCAGTCCTCCCTGGGGTCCCACCTCCCGTCTGGCCCTCACTGTCACCCCCTGGACTCAGTCCTATGGACCCAGACAATCTCCCCCTGCCATCTTTGATCCCTGGCCTGGGGCACCCATGTCACCAGGCAGCAGGGGGTACATGGCAGGGGTGTGATTTGCTGCTGCTGCTCACAGTGTCAACAAAAGCAACCAACTTTTCCTGAGCTTTACCCCTGTGCAGGCTTGTTGTGCAGTACTTCATTTAATCTTCACTACAGCCCTTTTTTTTCAGACGGAGTTTCACTCTTGTTGCCCAGGTTGGAGTGCAATGGTATGATCTCAGCTCACGGAAACCTCTGCCCCCTGGGTTCAAACGGTTCTCCTACCTCAGCCTCCCGAGTAGCTGGCATTACAGGCATGTGCCACCACACCCACTAATTTTGTATTTTTTAGTAGAGACAGGGTTTCTCCATGTTGATCAGGCTGATCTCAAACTCGCAACCTCAGGTGATCCGCCTGCCTTGGCCTCCCAAAGTGCTGGAATTATAGGCATGAGCCACCGCACCTGGCCAATAACAGCCCTATGATTACCCTGATTTTACAGAAAAACTGAGGCACATGAGTTAAGCAACTTTCTCAGACATGAAGCCAGTCAAGGCTGGAGGTGAGATTCATGCTCTGGGACTGGTGGCAGAGTCTCCTTGGAGAAGAGGGTACAGCTGGAGGGAAGAGTGAACAGGAGTGAGGGCATTCCAGGCACAGAGCTGTGCGCTAAGGTTTGGAGGGGGGAGTGCACGTGGTGTGGGGTTGTTCCTTAGGAAGGTACTTCCTTAACTCTGACCCGAGTTATTCTTGTTGCAATGGTTGTAGACTAACAGAGAAACAGATCCTAAAGTTCAGGGAGGCCAGAGGTGGGGCCACCACCCCTGTGGATGAGTGAAGGAGTGTGGGAGCCATGTGTGCTGGAAGCACATACCTTTCCCTCTCCTGAACATCCCAACTCCAGAAAAAGAAGTGTGCCTCCTCCTGGCCATGGGGGAGGTGAAACCAACAGCAGTATGTAGAGGCTGAGCCAATTCCTTGAGCCGGGGAGGGGAGTGTTGATCAGATTTCGGTGATCAGTCTGCCAAACGGCCAGTCAGTTTTCAACCCATGACTGCCTGCCTGTAGTCTAGGCCATCAGGGGTGCCCCCCAGTCCCATCAGTAGGCTGGTCTGTCTGTTAGGAGGCCCGGTGAGTCAGCAAGTCTCTAGGGATGGGTGGGAGCCTCTGTCAGTCACTCCAGAGTTCTCCATCGGCTGGAGAAAATATGGCAAAATAAGTTTGTCTTTAGAGAGGTGGAGATGGCAGGAGAAGTGTAGTGGGGAGGAGGGGTTAGACAACAAGATGGCAAAGACGGTAGTCACTGGGCAGGTGGCAGATTGGTGATGGTGCTAATGTTGCCTTGGTGATGCTGGAGGTGGTGGCAGTGGTGCTCTTGCTGTACCAGTTGTGATGGTGCAGAGGGTGGTGATGGTGGTTATGTTGATGCTTACAGTAGTGCTCATGGTGGTAACGGTGATGCCAGCGGCGGTGGTGGTAGTACTGGGAGGGACCCGTATGCTGGCGTTGGTGTTAGTGATGGTAACGATGGTTACTGATGGAGGTACTAGTAGCAGCGATGGAAATGGTAGTGAATGGATGCTGTAAGTGGAGTGGGGCAGGGATCAGCCCGTCAGCAGCATGGATCCCCCATGTCAGAGGCAAAGGGAGAGCTTCAGGTTAGTTGGAGGCCCCTGGATCCTGGCAAGTCCAAGGTGTGCTTCCTTAAGCCCCATCATTCTATGTCTACCTCTGCGCCAGCCGGTTCAGCCATAGCTGTGGAGTCGAAGAGACTAGGATAGAGGAGCTGGGGCCAGCTGCCAGCACGTGGGGATCTGTTCCAGCCCTTCCTGGGGTCCAGCTGATATCTCAGGGTCCACCTCAGCCCCCAGAGTCAACAGAACCACTGGCCACCCACAGACGCAAATGCTAAGGAGCTGCCGCCTCACTCACAGACGCGCACGCGCTGCCCTATGCCCAAAAATACCTGCATGTGCACGCTCACAAATACGTCCATCTGGCGTCCCACACTGACATGCCGGACAGTGCCCGCGTGAGAACGCGCAGAGATGGGCACACACGAGTGCACGCGCCGGCCACACTCGCGCACGCGCAGGGACGCGCATGTGGCTCCGCTAAGTGGAACCAGCAGAACCCGAGGCCGGCCGAGCCAATTGGAGACTCCTTGGCCCTGGAAGTCCTCGCTGCTGCCGCCAAGAGACGCGGTCAATTAACTTCTCCCTGCAGCCAGGCTCCCTGACCCGGCCCGCCCACCCCGTCCCTGGCTGCCTCCTTCCTTCCCTGCCCCCTCCGAGTCCTCCCGCCTTGCACAGCCACGCTTGGACTGCAGAGCCCCAGCCCCGCCATGGCGCGTCTGAAGGATGCAGCTCTGCCCCGTGGGGCTGAGGAGACGTAGCCTTTTGGGGGACCTGTGGAGGGGGCCATCTCAGAATACAGGCCCAGGGGTCTGAGGAAACACGGCCCTGAATTAAGGGGGATGGGGCTGAGGGCTTCACAGCCCCGCCCTGGGGAGGTTTCAGAGTCTGCCTTAACCCCTGCGGGTCACACTTATGGGAGTGGCTGGTCGGGGCACACCTACCAGTTCCCCGGGGCGGGGCGGGATGGTGTCTTCACCCCGGCTCCTTTCCTCCCAAGTCAGAGGCTTACAACCCTCAGCAGCCACCTGCTCAGAGTGAGCCTCCACCCCCATGATGTTTCATGTCCTTTCCTATAACGAGACCAGTGAGTCCCGGTGGGTGGCAGCCAGGGCCCATGGTGTGCAGGTTGGAGGGAAGGGAAAGGACATTCCAGGCAGAGAACAGCATGAGTGAAGGCCTGAGTGTCATCAGAACTCAGAGTCCGCCTGAATGGAGGGAGCTCCCAGATCAGCAGTGGAGAGGGACTCCCACCCACAGCCAGCACCAGAGTGCCCAGCCCAACCCAGGCCACACGCCAGCAGTTCCTCCACCCTCTCCCTCTTGGGATCGTAAGGAGGGGAGGCACTGAGGCACTCACCGTTCACTGGGGAAAGCGCTGACTGGGGACCTGGGCCAAGATGGAAATTGGTGACTCCCAAGGCCCCCCCCCCCACGGTGCCAGGACTTGAAGGAATCCAGGCTGGGTTTGTCTCCCCAGAGTTCAGGACTCCTTATCCAACCCCTGCCCCCAACTCATGTCCCCAGCAGGCAGCCAGGATCCTGTGTGGATCCATCCTGGGACATTCCATTCCAGTCCCATGAACCCCTGGGGAAAGAACTGGGCAGAGAGTATCAGTGACTGCAGCCTGCAGGGTTACTGGCGGGTAACAGCTGTAGGAGACAGCTCCCTCCTTTTTCCCTTGGATCAGGCAGGCCCCATCCCTCAGAGCCACAGCTTCCCACCTGTAAGGTGGGAGCTGCCTAAAACAGATTTCCCACATGCGGGGGAAATCCCACCTTCCCTCTAGAGTCAGGGCCTTTTGAAAGAGGGTAATCGCTCTGGGAAATTGGGATGGCTCTGGGACCTGCTGCGCTGGAAAGTCCTGCCTGTGGTCTGACCTTCGGCTTGGCAGGTGGATGCAGATGACGTCATGACTAAAGAGGAACAGATCTTCCTGCTGCACCGTGCTCAGGCCCAGTGCGAGAAACGGCTCAAGGAAGTCCTGCAGAGGCCAGGTGGGGGTCAAAGGTGGGGGTCTGGGGATGAGGCCAGGTGAGGGAGGGGCCAGTTGAGGGTGGGACCCAGGATGCAGAGCCAGGTGAAGGCTCTCCATGGGAGTGGACTCAGGTAAAGGGGACCAGGCCAAAGTGAGGACCGAAGTGGGATGGGTGGTGCAGGAGTGGAGTCAGCAGGCATGGGTGTCCTTGGCTTGTCCTAAGTCTTTTCTTTTTCTTTTTCTTTTTTTTTTTTTTTTGAGATGGAGTCTCACAGTGTTGCCCAGGCTGGAGTGCAATGGTGCGATCTCGGCTCACTGCAACCTCAGGCTCCTGAGTAGCTTCGATTACAGGCACCCATCACCATGCCCAGCTAATTTTCTTTTCTTTCTTTTTTTTTTTTTTTTTTTGTATTTTTAGTAGAGACAAGGTTTCACTATGTTGGCCAGGCTGGTCTTGAACTCCTGACCTTGTGATCTCCCCACCTTGGCCTCCCAAAGTGCTGGGATTACAGGTGTGAGCCACCTCGCCTAGCCTGGCTTGTCCTAAATCTTAAGCTCAGGTCCCTGTGTTGTCTACCACTAGCGCTCAGACTGACGGCTGTCAGGTTAATCTCATCAACCCAAGAGGCCAGCTGACTGATGGAGGGGGCAGCTTCCTCCCCTGACGAGCCCTTAGGGATCTGCAGGGGTCAAGTCTGGTGCACGCCCAGAACACAAGCACACAATGACACACACTCTGTGGCACATGGGTTTTGCTCACACTCACAGAGACTCACATGGTCTCTGCAGTCACAGCCCCACCCATGCTGGCCCTAACAGTGGCTCCCAGTTGCATCGAGATCTGGGGGGTCAGGTGGGCCCCCTCACTTGGGTCCTGAACCCAGCCCCTCTTCTTAGTTGTGGAAGCTTGGAGGGTGCCGGTCTTTGCCCCTCCCCATCCGCCATGGAGCCTCTCTCTTCCTACTTTACCCATCTTGCTCCCCGCATCCCCACACTGATGGCCGAGGGTGGAGGCAGGAAAATAAGTGCAGTCATTCTCATCCCAGTCCTGGCTGCCTGGACTCAGCTTCCTATCATTGCCACAGACCCGACATGGGAGGGCCAGGGGGCCCTAGCTTGGGCTGTGGCTGAAGGAATGCAAATCAGAATTGAGGAAGACTTGACGGGCGCGGTGGCTCACGCCTGTAATCCCAGCACTTTGGGAGGCCGAGGCGGGTGGATCACGAGGTCAAGAGATCGAGACCATCCTGGTCAACATGGTGAAACCCTGTCTCTACTAAAAATACAAAAAATTAGCTGGGCATGGTGGCGCGTGCTTGTAATCCCAGCTACTCAGGAGGCTGAGGCAGGAGAATTGCCTGAGCCCAGGAGGCAGAGGTTGCGGTGAGCCGAGATTGCGCCATTGCGCTCCAGCCTGGGTAACAAGAGCAAAACTCAGTCTCAAAAAAAAAAAAAAAAAGAAGAAAGAAATGAGGAAGACTTTGTGACTAGGAAGAAAGACCTCTCCAGCCTGGGCAACATAGTGAGACCCCAACTCTACAAAAAAACTTAAAAATTAGCCAGGTATGGTGGTGCACACCTGTAGTCCCGGCTACAGGTGAGGCTGAGGTGGGAGGATCGCTTGAGCACAGCAGTTCGAGGCTGCAGTGATTCATGATCACATCACTGCACTCCAGGCAGGGCCGCTGTGGAAGCTGTGAACCACATATTTAACGTCCAGGGAAGGGGATGGGGTAGACTTCTCTGTCCATTCTTTTTTTTTTCTTCTTTTTTAAATTTTTGATTTTTTTTTTTTTTTTTTTAAAGATGGGGTTTTTTTTTATTGGTCAGGCTGGTTCGTGAACTTCTGACCTCAGGTGATCCGCCCACCTCAGCCTCCCAAAGTGCTGGGATTACAGGTGTGAGCCGCCGCGCCTGGCCTCTGTCCACTCTTGACTGTACCACCTTGCTCTCCTCTTCTCACCACCAGCTTCTTTACCTGCACAGCACTCAGCCCAGACTTCATTTTCGCTGTGCGATCTGCCCATTGACATCTCCACCCCATCTGTCTGCTTTCACCATGCGCCCCCTGGTGGGGTCTTCACTGCTGCGTGGCCCTGGCCCCCACTCCTGAGTCCTGGGTGGGAGGATCCACCTCTGCCGTCTTACTCACGTTTAGTGCTCACCTCACTAGCTGACCCTGCTCTCCCATGGTGTTCACTCCCATTCCAACCCTGGGGGGCAATCTCCACATCCTCTTATTACTTTACCTGGCAAGCACTTTACACTTTGTTAAATGCCTCCTCACCCATTGTCTCAGATCTCCCAACAGCCTGGGTGTCAGCAGGGCAGGAGACAACCCCCCATTGTACAAAGGGGGAGTCTGAGTGCCCCGGGTCTCCTGTTGTAGCACAGCTGACAGCCATCATTCCTATCCTGGTTTCTCCAGCCGACATAATGGAATCAGACAAGGGATGGACATCTGCGTCCACATCAGGGAAGCCCAGGAAAGATAAGGCATCTGGGAAGCTCTACCCCGAATCTGAGGAGGACAAGGAGGCACCCACTGGCAGCAGGCACCGAGGTATGTCTCTATTTCCATGC